TTAAAATAAAAAAAGAAGAAAGATATATTCTGATATATTTAACTTATGTTAAGGTAATCATCTACAGTATCATCTAAACCAGGACATTCTTGAATGGGACAAAAGGGGAAACTGGAACTTTCTCAGGACATCTGAGAGATGTGGTTATGTGATTATGACTTGAAACCTTTTGAATTTATGGTCTAGGGTCAGGAAAATTAAAAAGGAATCATGGATCACTCAGGTTACAAATGGCAATAGGGAGAGAGTTACCACCTGAATTAGGTGTTCTACCTGGACTTTAATTTTTAAAATTTCTTAGGTAAATAGAATTGGTGATGGAGACATTCTCATGCACCAAAATTAGTCTTCTGCATTAAGCAGTTATTGTAATTAATTTTGGTTTTTGAAGTACTTATCAGTAAATGTCATACACATAGTTATGTCAGGAATACATACATGCATATATACATATTCAATATATGTACATACATATACATACCTGACGTGTGTGTATGTACATGTAGGCACATTTTATACTTGACTAAGCCAAATAAGAATATTGTGATTTGGGTTAGTAATGAGGAATGATGCCTGAAGTTTAGGGGTGAGGTTAGGTCACTGTATCACAGTCAATTTAAAGTTCCTCCTAGTCGTGGTAGCAGGACAAAGACCATTGGCAGGACCAGTTTCATGGATGTGTGAACTATCCAAGGGGCAGTCACTGAAGGCCCCGTGCTTAGAAGGGTCCCACTGTTGGCTTAATACTCTGCTGCTGCTATCTTGTAATTCTTAATCATTTTTGAACAAGAAGCCCCACATTTTCATTTTTCACTGGGCCCCACAGACTACGTAGCTGAGGTTTCCCTGTAGGTGTATCTTAGTGTGTCCCAAGCATGCTTATTAAGAGAGTCCTTTAAACATATGGATTTAAAAAAAAAAGAAAGCAGAATAGTTTAACATCTATCCAAGGCAGGGTCCCTTCTTGTCATGATTTTAATAATATTCTAATAATCAGACTCAAATTATTATTCAAAGCATCTAAATTTNTGTTCTATTCAGTTTGTGTATTATTGCACCAGTGCTACATTGTCTTAACTACCATCTATTAATCTAAGTCTTTCAGCTTTATTGCTATTATACAAGATTGTCTTGACTGTGTAGTTTTTGTAAATGCCTAGCACACTAATTGATACTTTTGGCACACTATAGGAACACTAAAAAATTTCTGGGTACTTAAGAACTGATAGATAGGTAATATTATTACTATTAATACTACAGTACTGGTATATTATTGATATTTAGTTTTATTGTTCTTATTTTTATTCTTATCTATTACAGAGAAGGAAACCGGAGCACAGAAAAGTTAAGAGGCTTGCTCAAGGCTTCATCTAGACACTGGAAGGATTGGTACTAGAATCTGGTATGGTGCTCTCTATTCTCTGAAAAGGGCCTCTCTATTGCAGTAAATGTTCTCAATGAAGCACATGAATATTCCTTTCAAATTCTTCTACTGCAAATCTATAAGAAAACTTTTCAAAACAATAGTGATTAAAATTAAGTAACATGTGGAGATATATTTATGATACAATGTTACATGGAAAAATGCAGGAAAAAAGTATGCATCATGTTATAACTATGTTAAAAATCAATCCATAGAAAAAGACATCTATATAGAAATATATCAAAATATTAATAGTGCCTGTATTTAATTATTGGACCTATGAGTTGTATTCTTCTTGTCTCAAGTTTCTCAATTTTATTTAATGTACCTGTATTTCATTTTTGTTTAAAAGCAATAAAGTTAAAATAATTTGGAAACAGCACAAATAGATGTTATTATGAAAACCTGAAAACACCACACTGTTATGATTAAAGGTCTTTTTTACTATTATTTTTATAGCATCTTA